AGTAATGTCCTTATAATGTATTATATAACGAAGGTAGAATCGTTACAGTTGTATTTAATCGATCGGGATAAAAATATAATCATAACGATAGTATACTCCTTATGATGTATGAAATAACAAAGGTACATTCGTTATGTTGAAAATCATAACAAATGTACTCTCGTTATGGTTAGTTTGATGGAATGACGTGTTAACGATTATATCTTCGTTATATATGATATTAGGACGATAGTTTAACCTCGTTACAGTGTTGAAAGACTTATAATGAAACTCTTTTTGTGAAATAACGATACTAGTTTCCTTTTAGAAGTGGATAGATAATGAAGAATCGTTATAATAGTTTATTTTACATAAAAATGACAAATTATATCTATAACGAGAGTAATATCTTTATAATGTATTATATAACTAAAGTACAATCATTATAGTTGTACTTAATCGAAATACAACCATAACGAATGTACTCATTATAGTTGTACTTAATTGAAATATAACCATAATGAATGTACATCATAACGATGTATAAAATAACGAATGTACATTCGTTATGTTGAAAATCATAACGAATGTACTCTCGTTATGGTTAGTTTGATGGAATGACGTGTTAACGAATCTCTTCGTTATATATGACATTTGGACGATAGTTTAAACTCGTTATAGCGTCGAAATACTTATAACGAAACTCTTTTTGTGAAATAACGATACTTGTTTTCTTATTGGAAATGGATAAATAATGAAGAATCGTTATACTAGTAAATTTTATATAAAAAATGACTAAAAAATAAATTTTACGTTATCAATATCTTTATAATGTATCATATAATGAAGGTAGAATTATTATAGTTGTATTTAATCAAAATATAACTATAACGAATGTGCATTCATTATGATGTATGAAATAACGAATGTACATCCATTATGTTGAAAATCATAACGAATGTGTGTGACTAATGTAACGAATGTTATACTTCTTAATTAATTTCAAAATATAACAAACGTTGTACTTCTTAGTTTCTTAATCATGTGCATGTGATTGATGTAACATATTACTAATTTATAATTTCTTAATATTGTTACACAACTATTGGATTTGAATTTTCTACTACACAATTATCATTTTATGACATCTGTTGTCTTTCTTCAATGCTTTTAGGAATCAAAATGGAGTATGCGTTCGATATACCTTCAACATGCTCAGAAGTCGTGACCAATAATGAGTACAAAGCCTAGATAAATACATACATCCAGCGCAATAATGAGCGATGGGAGGCACATGATGACCGTTGGACCCGTTGGGAATCTCAACAATTTGATCAGTGGCATCAGTGGGACGACAAGTTCAACCAATTGGACATTCGCTGGAGTTCATGCACCAGCCTACCTACCCTTCACCTCCACCTCCACCACTGAATGTCATTGTGCTTTGTGAATTTGATTTGTGTTTTTGGAATCGACTTGGCACCAGCCTATTCCAGACTTCATAATTTTCAGTTTTCTTTCTTCTATTAAACTGTGGATTTGATTTGTGATTTGGTTTGTGTTTTAGAATCGACATTTGGATTTGGCAGACTCTTGTTTTGCCTATGACTTTGATGTGTTTGATTGATATGATTTCTTGTGTTCAAATAACCATAACGAGAGTACATTCGTTATGATTTTCAAGATAATGAATGTACCTTCGTTATTTCATACATCATAGAATGTGCATTCGTTATGGTTATATTTTGATTAAATGCAACTATAACGATTCTACATTCGTTATATAATACATTATAAAGATATATCATTATAACG